TAATAACGTATATGCATATTTTGGTGGGGACATAAATGATGACTCAGATACGTACAATGTGACACTAATCGCAAAGGTATTGAGTTCTTACCGTTTTACTGACATTAAATGAGTCGATTTTAATTATAACTATAAATTTTATATAATAATTGTTATACCTGTAGTTTTTGTGCATACATATATGTGAGTTAGAATCTGTGTTAGCATGATTGATAAGCTGCATTCTAATATTTGGGACACATTTTATTAGTTGTACAATAAACTTGTTATAATTTTTAATATTAAATATGCTACAAGATCAGATTTAATTTTTCAAGTCCCTAAAATATCAGCCCTCCAACATTATAACTGAAAAATTGGTTTAAAGTCATTTAGACAGAATTCCCCTAACCCATGGCAATTCATTAAACATATAGATTTTCGGTAGAACGAAGTCCCCCGACTTTGACTTAACTATAAAAAATAATTTCTTTATTCACTATTTGTTTGAGACATCTTCTAAAAAATATGGATACATTATTAAACTACAACTAAAAGAGCATGACACACTGTAACCATTAAAGGTGATTTACGTCATGAATATTTGAGATGACGTCATCAACTTTCTAGAAGGGATAAAAAGGTGAATTCTGATTAAGAATTCACGATACTCGAGTGAACGAAGCAATATATATAACGTTGCACAACGTTAAAAATAGCAATGGATTAATAAATCACAACTACAGAAGTATATTATTTTGCACACTTTAATAGGATACACTTAACAAAATTTTGAAATGACGTCATCAGATTTTTTGTGGGTATGATAAATTTTCAGCATTTTTAATATTTCTAAAATACACTGATCGTTATTTTATTAAAGTACCATCCACTATTGACACAAATTGTACAAATGAGCAAAAAAAAGTTTGAATGATACGATTTCTCCATTTTTGTCCTCTTCAATTTTACCGTTTTTAAATAAGTATTTCGATTATTGAATTTTTCAAATTCTGACGTTTCTAAATTTTCGGCTTTCCGATTTCTGAAGTATTTTTTTTTCATTTTTCCATTTCTCGATTAACTAGAGTTTCTATTTTTCACTTCAATTCTTCAATTTTTCGATTTTTTAAGCTTACTATTTTTCGACTTTGCTTTTTAGTCTTTCGATTTCTCAATTTTCCATTTTTTTTAATTTCTCAGTTTTTTGGATGTCTTTCAGTTATGGGATTTTTCAATATTTCGATTTTTCCACTTTTCGATTTTTGGACTCTTGGATTTTTTTGATTTCTCGATTTCTTACTTTTTGGATTTTCAATTTATCGTTAAACTTTAGATTTTTCAGTTATTCGACTGTTTTATAATTCGATTTCTCAATTTTTCAATTTTTCGATGTTTTAATTAATCAATTTTTAAAATTGTAGGTTTTTCGATTTCTCGAGTTTTCTGTTCTTCTATGCTTCAATTTTTCAATTTTCGAATTTTTAAATTTTCGATTTTTCAATTTTTTGATTTCTGGATTTATCGAATTCAGATGTTTCGATGTTTTGATTGTTCAATTTCTAGATTTATCAATTTTTCAATTTTGACTTTTTTTCTAGGCTTTCGACTTCTCGATTTCTCAATCCTCTGATTTTTTGATTTTCCGATGTCTCAGTTTATGAATTTTTTAAATTCCGGGGTTTCGATTTTCAGTTTTTCGATATTTTAATTGTTCAATGTTTTAAATTTTAGATTTTTCGATTTCTCGATTTTCGATTTTTCAGTTCTTTAGTATTTCTATTTTTCAATTTTTCAAATTTTGACGTTAATAAATTTTCAGTTTTCCGATTTCTCAGTTAATCTATTTTTGATTTTCCCATTTCTCGACTTCTGAAAGTTTCAATTTTTCAGTTCTTCAATTCTTCCATTTTTCGACTTTGCTTTAGTGGTTTTTCGATTTCTCAATTTTCCAATTTTTTAATTCCTCAATTTTTGGATATTTCTTTCAGTTTTGAAATTTTTCAATATTTCGATTCTTCGACTTTTCGATTTTTCGACTTCTGGATTTTTCGATTTTAAAACTTTAGGATTTTCAATTTTTCGACTGTTTTATATGTATTTCAATTTCTCAATTTTTCAAATTTTCCATATTTTAATTTTTCGATTTTTAAAATTATAGATTTTTCGATTTCTCGAGTTTCCAGTTATACTACAGGTATTTTAGTTTTTCAATTTTCTGAATTTTTAAATTTTCGATTTTTCAATTTTTTGAGATCTCGATTTATCGAGATTCGGATGTTTCGATGTTTTGATTGTTCAATCTCTCGCTTTATCAATTTTTCCATTTTTAACTATTTGATTTTTCGATTTTGGCCTATTTCGGTTTCTAATTTTTTCGAATTTTCGACTCCCCGACTTTTCGACTCCTCGATTTCTCGATCTTTTGAATTTTCGATTTCTCCATGTCTCAGTTGTCGAATTTTTCGATGTTTCGATTTGTCAGTTTTTCGATTTTTTACTTTTCGGTTTCTCGATTTTTCGATGTTTCGATTTTCGAATTATCCGATTTTCCAATTTTCCATTTTTTTTTATTTTCGAGTTTTGATTTCTCGATTTGTTGATTTTTCAGTTTTTAGATTTTTAAATTTTAGATTTTCGAATTTTTATTTTTTTTATTTTTTGATACTTGGATTCTCCATTTTTCAATTTTACGATATTTTAATTTTTCAGTGTTGTAAATTTTCGAATTTTCGATTTTTCAGTTCTTCAATATTTTTTAATTTTTCAAATTTTGACGTTTCTGAATTTTCAGTTTTTCGATTTCTTAATTAATCGATTTTTTGATTTTCCCATTTCTCGACTTCCCAAAGTTTCGATCTTTCAATCCTTCAGTTCTTTGTTTTTTTACTTTACGGTTTCACAATTTTTCAATTTTTTTAATTCACTAATTTTTGGATATTTTGTTCAGTTTTGTGATTTTTTAGTTTTTCGATTCTTCAATTTTTCTTCTATTTTTTAATTTTTCGATATTTGAGTTTTCGGATTTTTTAGTATTTCGACGTTTTACTTTTTAGATTTTCAATTTTTCGTTTTTTAAACTTTGGATTTTTCAAATTTTCGACTGTTTTATGCTTCGATTTCTCAATTTTTCAACTTTTCGATATTTTAACTTTTCAATTTGTAGAATTTTAGGTTTTTCGACTTCTCGAGTTTTCACTCTATTTTTTTTTTAATTTTTCGATTTTCCAATTTTTCGATGTTTCGATTTTTCAATTATCCGTTGTTCAATTTCTCGATTTTTAAATTTTCGATTGGCCAGTTTTTATTTATTTGATTTTTTCGTGTTTGGATTTCTAGATTTTACAATTTTTCGATGTTTTGAATTTTAGATTTTTCTTTTTCTCGATTTTTCAGTTCTTCAATGTGTCTATTTTTCAATTTTTTGTTTTTTTAAATTTGTCATCTTGGTTTTTCTATTTTTAAAATTTTTCGACTTTTCGATTTTTTAAGTTTTCGATTTCTTAATTTTTGCAACATTATCAGTTCTGGGAACTTTTCAATTTCTGGTTTTTTTAATTTTTCGATTTTTAGAATTGTTGATTCTTCGATATGTACTTCAATTTTTCAATTTTTCGGTTTTTCGATCACTGAAAGCTTGTCGCATTATGGCTAAAAGTTTTCCCAAAGTTATTATCATACAATGTATGGAAAATAAATAACCAACAAAATAGAATACAATGCTTCTAATAAAACATAAAAATAACTGCACTTTCCCGAAAAAAATTGCATTGATTACGGTTGCATTAGTATTGCTATTTTAGGAGTTTTATTAGTATCAAACACAATTAAAGAATTAATTCTTAGTTAAACAAAAAAACCGCTGCATGTCAAAATCGAGTGAAACATGTGAGATGTAACATTGTTTGTAAATTAAAGCATCTAAATAATAACTATTTCCCGCAGAAATTTTGAACGCTTAGAGTCGACATTGGCTCTGAACGCTTAGAGTCGACATTGGCCTGAGCACGCTACGGTCTGTAGATCAATCAAGTTCTCAGGCGACGATATATCTGACGTAATTTTCAATAAACTTTTTTTAATAAATTTGTTATTAACGTCATTCTAGAGGATATGAAGAAAAAAATTAAGTAATGACCGGTAGTCCCCAAGTCAATATTAATATCTATCCAAAATTTCTGTATTAGTTAGTTTAGGAAATAAACAATAACATATCATTTTGAGACGATATCACTATTTTTTTTATCTAATACCCAGTCAAATAATTAATTATTATTAATTTAATAATAATTTGCTAGATTACCATTTACAAAACCATTTTTTACTGTTGGCAGATGCCATTTTAGACTATTTTTTTGGGATTTTTAGATTGTCAATTAAAGTCACATTAAAACCTATTTGAATTACGAAGTTAATTCTTCAACTTACTAGACAGATAATCTCTGATTAGTTTCAGATTGCACATGTACCTTAATATTAATCTGGGGTTAAACTTTTTTATTTTTTAGGTCATTGTTTCAAGTGACTTTCAACGAAAGTGTATCATTATCGGCACTAATGGGCCAAAAATAATCAAGTGAACAAGTAAGAAATAATATTTGAGTTATTAAAAAGTGTAAATTTATACAAAAAACCTGATTTATTTGGAGAAACAGATTTTTTATTGTCATCGTAATGTGTACGTCGTATTAAAACACTTTGATTAGCCTAAAGTTTTTAAAATTCTACGTATCTGCGTCACATATGTAGTGGTCAAACAGATATAAAAATTTTGCTTGGAGATGTTGGAATTAAAAGTGTCTGTGAGTGGTCAAAGGAAATTATCCTTATTCTTTAATTTTCGTGTATTTGCACTAACTAATTGTCAATATCTACAACCTATGTTTTCCGTTAGCAACAAGATACCGGTATTCCATATCAATCCATGATACCAAATGAATCGCCAGAAATCGACTTTCAGTAGAAATATGAGCGACAGCGCCATCTCTCCATACTTTGTGTATCACTTTCTTTCCCTGTGTTTATTTCTGTAATTGTGTATTTTACCTGCAGCTGTCATGTACATGACATCCTGCTTGTCATTTAAAAAAATGTAAGTTTTATAGCTACATGATTAAATATGAATCATGTTCCTGTCGTTTTTCATTATCTGTGCGCAACCAAAAATGCACACCAAATTATTACATAATAGGTAGTTGCATTCCGCAGTGATTATGAGCCAGTTTTCAACATAACCTATAAATCCGTTTTGGGAAGATTTTAATTTAAAAACCATGGAAGAATCGAACGACTGTGCATATTTAAGAGAATTTGCAACAACAAATCAGTGTGAGTTAATGTTTGCTTTAAACCTGCACGTGGAAGGTGTTGGTTTGCTCCAAGAAGAAGTACGAGCAGTTAGACAAGTAACTGACACAGTGGAATCATTGCTACAACACATTGTTAATAAAATAAGAAAATCTGTTAAAAATTTAAAGGAAAATGCAGCTGAAAACAGTGATAGTGACTTAAAGGTGCCAATCAGTCTGACCAATGGTTTCACTGAAAACATTCGAGGAAAAACGGTTTTGAAGAACTTGATTAATTCTAATATTGGAGCCATCAGGTTTCAGATATTTGATCAGAGTTATTTCGTTGTTATTAACGCTCCATTGGTGAAGGAAATTAAACTTCCTTTGATTTTATATGCTCATTTTACCGTCCAAGCAAGCAAATTGTTTTGTTTATTTACTGATCACAGCAGTTCTCAGTTTTCTTGGTTTAAATCTAAAGATAAAGAAAATTGGACGCAAGTCGCAACTACTTCCAAATATAAAATTAAACACGATGACATTGATCATTACTTGAAACTGGTATGTGTGCCGTGCAATAGTGTACTGACGGGACCTTCAGCGGAGGCTATTTCAGAAAATAAAGTTGAATTGATTGGGGATTTACCAACTTGTCCTTTTGAAGAGAGACACAAATTTACAAGTCAACCATCGAACAACAACTGGTATGTCAAAAATATCACAAATCGCGATTTTTTAACTTCTTGGTAGTTTCAGAGTTGTTTCCTACAATGTTTTATCTAATAGATATACTGACAGCGCTGACTCTTTCCCATACTGTCCGCCAAAATTTCTAGCAATAGATTATAGGAAGCAATTGATAACTAAAGAATTATTAGGTAAATTCATCTTCATGTAGTATGAATTTGAAGTTTTTTTTTTTCATTTTTTAGGTTACAAAGCGGATGTAATTTGCCTTCAAGAAGTGGACAGCAGTGTCTTCACTACATACTACAAGGATATTTTTAAAAACGCAGGTTACATGAGTTTCTATCACAAAAAAGGCAACAAAAGCTCAGAAGGTTTAGCTTGTTTCTTCAATAAGACACGTTTTAAGTCAGTAAGTAATTTTTTATTGATTTATAATTCGTGTGACTTCTACAGGAAAGTGGATGACCACCAAATAATCTACAGTAATGAAATTAAAAAGAAGTTATATACACATTTGTGGAATTTTGTCAAAGTAAATCCAGATCTTAGGGACCTGTTTATGAGACAATTGACCTCATTGCATGTTACAGTTTTAAAACTCAAGCTAGCAAAAAAAAGTCATACATTGATTTTTGGAAATACCCATCTTTTCTACCGTCCTGAGCATGAACTTGTCAGGATTTTACAAATTAATATGGCCACTACATATTTGCAGTCTCTGAACCAGAATTACTCTCAGGTAGTATCAAGTAGTTATGTATATTATTTGTTAACAGTTGACTTACAGAACAATTCTGTTAAAGTAATTCTCTGTGGCGATTTTAACAGTATTCCTACATCCGCTGTTTATGATTATGTAGCAAATGGAAAGCTACATAAAAACCATCCTGTGTTTCAAAACAGTAAATATTTGATTTTTTTCATTTAAAACTATTTAAACTAATTAATCTGTTTCAGCTAAAAACCACCCTATTTTGTTCCACAACTTTCAGTTTGAAAGTGCTTGTGGAACACCAACATACACAAATTACACAGAAAATTTTAAAAATTGTTTAGATTATATTTTTATTGAAAAGAATAAATTGAAAGTTAATAAAGTAGTACCCTTTCCAACGGAGGAAGAACTTGGTAATTATATAGGTTGTCCAAATGAAGTTTATCCATCAGATCACTTAGCACTTGTAGCAGATTTGAAGTTAGCTACATAATTGATTTACACAGTATATTAATTTGAGTAATGTCAAGTAATAACAGCATACTCTTTTTATAAAGAAGTACTAATATTGTAAGATTTAAACTACATGCTGCTGATTTTTTGTGTTAGCAGTAGTGTATCAAGGAATTGATCAACTAATATTTGAAAAGTTTTTGGCAATTTTATACCAAAATTTTTATAATAGTTGCAATTATTTTTATATTGACTCTTTATTGACCATATTTTTTCAATATAAAATATGACTTGTATTGTCAAATGTTGTAAATATTTTTATAGCTCAAATAAATTATAATTTTTATTCCACTTGTTTTGTCTGAAGTACATATTTTCCTATTGTAATCCTTGTAGAATTGTGTATTAAATAGATATTATCACACTCGTCTGACTACAGAACTTGAAAAACGCCTCATTATGAACAAACTATCTATTCACGATTTTTTCGACGTTGGGTTGGCTATGAAAATCTGCCAAGTTTGTTTGTTGTCGGCTTGTTGGTACAGAATAATCAAAATTCCCCCAATTTTTCTTTTAGGTTAGGAAATGTGTGAGAATATGAGAAACATAGCCATTGTTGCCAGTATTTTCAGCTGCAGTACTTACGAAATTGCAAGAAACATTTTTTTGTTGTAGTAGGACAATTTTTGGTAGGTATTTTCCGCTGAAATTATTTGACACAGAATTAAACTTTATGTTTACTTGATTAAAAAATGTATCTGATAAATGAAGTGAAAACTGGCAAATCAGCACAACCATCAGTTGGTCCAACATGAGGAAAAAATATCAACCCTACTTTACTTCGAGGTGATAATATTTCGTTTCCCTTATGACCCAAATAAAATAAATACATATAATTGCATACCATACTCATTAATCAGTCAAAATATCACTTTTCTTTACATAAGGAAACCATTATGTTTTATTTTTCTTTATTTTTCATTTATTTTATATTGCTACTAATTATATGTTTTGCGCAGAAACATTTGACTGTGGGCGAAGCCACTTATTTAGAAATTTCAAAATAGCATGAATTATGGTGTTTACGTGGACACATTAACTATTTATACGAAATGCTACAACGTATTTGTCGTGTTTACAAGTTAAAACAAACAACATCGAATTTTCTGTTATTCCTGTGTAACGTCTTTATGCAATGGCGACGGTGTTAACTCCAAAATCTTGCCCAAAATCACTTTTACATCATTCGATATATTACACCCTTCGATTTTTCTTTATTTTACTTTTGTTTATAGGTTTCTTTCCTGCTACAGGAATTTTTGCGTCACCTGAAAAATTAAGTTTTAAGTGGTTTAGCTGGGAAGTGATTTACTCTTTATACATATTGTTTTCACTATGTATGATTTTCGGTTTAGCTTTGCACTATCAAGTAGTTGTGAAAGACAGCGAAATGGATATAAGTACGTCTAATAAATTACTCATCTACTTTTTTATCGAAAGATCGCATTTTAGGACATTTTATTTTTTTTACCACTGCGATAATATCGTTGATATCTTTCACCCGACTGGCTATGAAATGGCCAAAGCTTATAAAAAAATGGTGTCAACTTGATGAAAAACTCAATTCCATATACGGATATCCAAAATATTTAAAACTAAAGTTACAAATTTTTGTGGCAGGTTGGATACTTCTAATTTTTGGTAGATTTCTGTTTTCTAACTAGGAGCGCGAAAACTATAGCTTAAATCTTTCAGGCGAATACATTGCTTTAATTCTGTCAAAATTTGTATTGAATGATACTAGTGGTGCTATAACTTTACAACAAATTATGAAAAAACGATACTTCTACATATTTTCGTACGTCCCATATAATACTTTTGTACTCTCAGCACTGGGTGTTAGTGTTTGTTTTTCAACAATTTACACTTTTTAAAATTTCGCTTTTTAGTTACCATTGGTTTCCAATTACGTGGCTTTGTTTATAATTGATTTATTCATCATTTTGATAAGTATAACAATATCTTTCAGATTTAAACAAATCAATGAAGTTCTACAGCAACACAAAAACAAAGTATGTATTTATATAATTTATATTTACTAAATGCAGCAATTTATTTTTAGAACAGTTCTATTAACTTCTGGATGACCGTTCGTAAAAATTATAGCGAAATGGGTAATCTCTTCATGGACATTAATGACTCAATATCAAACATTGTGGTGCTGTCTTATGGTTCAAATATGATTGTTTTGATAAACAATTTAGGAAGATTTATCAGGTTATCTTAAATTAAGTAAAAATTGACAACGTTGCCAAGAACGCAGTTTTTTATAGTAACGATGTTGATGAACACAAGACAATTTTTGAAATTTATTCTTTCGTTTTTTTGATAATAAGACTCTTTCTGGTGTATTTTTTCTCCGCACGAATTAATTCAGAGAGTAGGAAACCGATCAGAATTCTTTTTGCAGTTTCTACCGAAATTTATAACGTTGAGGTAACTTATTCGATTGTAAAATCACCAGGTGTACGGAATTAATTTTAGATTCGACGATGGTACATGCAAATGAAACTAGATAGTATTGCTTTAACTGGAAATACGTTATTTAAAATAACACCAGGGTTAATTTTAAGTGTAATTTTTATTAAGAACCAGTGGGTGCCCACCAGCTTTGAGAAAAATATGGTGGTACCTATTTTTTGAATAAATTAACTCTTTGTTTTTTAGATTTGTGGGGCCATTGTTACTTATGAATTAATATTTATACAGTTCAGTAATCCTAGGTAAGGATTTATCGAATACATATTAAATAAGAAAAATAAGAAATATTTATTATTTGTCTTAAAATTAGAACTATTATAATATATATATCATAATATTGGGTGACTGTTAACGATTGAAGCAAATTTTTGAGTTGGCAATTTTGAATTATTGGTAGCAATGATAACATGTCACTACACAGTTGTCAAATTTGACATCACGATATTTTAAATATGTTGCCAACCTGACAAAAAAAATCACCAACATTAATAAGCACTCGTTATTATAGTATGACAAAAGTTATAAATTGTGTATTTTAATACTTTGTTTTGAACAATGTAATAAAATTTTTATTTAGTAAGAAGTGCGTATTTCTCATTTTCACTTACAAAATGTCACATTTCTGGGTACAATTTTGAGTTCAAAATGATACTGTCTTTAACAAGGATATTCTGGAGAATTGTTAAGATATGCTTATCTAAAACTGCAGTTTCATCCAGTTTTTTAAAGATACTGTGAATACTAGATCAACATAATCAAAAATTAAAAAACAAAATAGTTTTTAGTACAAGTTTTTCATGTTATATTCATATTATACTGAACAACTTAGCCTTTGGTGAATATTAGTGTTATAATTACATGTAAAAACAATAATTATAACAATTAAAGTTGTTTGTTTATTTATTGCTTTTTAACAAACGTTTTATTGTTATCGTTACCTTGAGCTAATTATACTGTTAGAATAAACATATCGGTTATACCTGTTGTGTTTAGAGATTACTAGAAAGTTTTATTTTACTTTTTACACTAATGTTTGTTAGCTATTGTATTTAGCCGAGAAAATATTTTTGGACACAATATTAATTAAAAGATTAAAAATGAAAATGTTTTAAAAATGCTGTAATTAAATGCATGGTTATAATTTGGTGCATATCTGACATGGCTAATAATAATAAGAAAAAACAACGTACAAAAACCAACGAAAGTATAACAGATACTCTAAAACTTGTACTAAAAATTGGAAAATACATTGGCCCGCTTCCTTTAACTGATATTTCGAAACCAACATCAGTGTGCTTTCGATTCAAATCTTTATGTTTTATTTATTCTTTCAGCATTTGGTTTGCATTTTTTATTCAAGCTGTTACAACTGTGCAGAATAGTTTTATGTGTATAATTTCTGGAAAACGTATAGACTTGGGTACCAGCGACAACATTTTTATTATTATTTGCTAACACTTGTTACATTCAGGTGCTCTGGTTTATATTTTCCATATTACAACGCTTTTGGGATTCCACATTGAATCATCCAGAAAGTGGCCCCAGATGATGACCCTTTGGCATGAAGTAGACAAAAACATGGCACATATTTTTGGTTATCCTAAAAAAGTGACTCAAAAAGTGAACACTTCATTTATTCTATTTTCGCTTTTTGCTCTAGGTTGTCTGAACCTTGTTGAATGAAAATAATTGAATAATCTTTATTAAACCATTTCAGGTAATCAAATATTTACTCCAAATCGTTCGTTTATAGAGTTGCTTAATATTGAAAAATTACGGACAATGAAATTTATCGATTTTGTTTCAGTAGTAAGTTTTTTTTTGGAATTTTGTTTTAAACAAAGTAATAGGTTCACAATATCATAGGAAAAGCGGTTCTTCATTTCAACGACATTTTTCTTGTTGTTATTAGTATGGCTGCACAGTCAAGATTCCAGCAAATGAATGACTGGATGCAAACACAGCGTCATATAGGTAATATTTACTGAGCACTTACTTAACCATATGATTTTTTATAGTTCGAAGTAATCCTGCTGACCTATGGCAAACTGTTCGGGAGAATTATATGAGAATGGCAACTCTAGTTTATGAACTGGATAAAATATTTTCCCACATGTTTTTTTTTACTACTGCCTTTAACTGCTACTGGATTCTCAAAATTTTTTCTTCTCTTATTAAGTTGATCTAAGTTAAGACAAGAGATTCTGGTCAAAAATATAACATTTTTGTTTTAGAATGACTACTTTTGACTGGAATATGCATCTGCTGTACTCTAATGTTTTTATCGTAGTACGAACACTCTTAATATTATGGTCAGGTGTCCAACTAAATAATGAAAGCAAAAAATTAGCTGTTATAATTCATTTCGCAAATTTACCCACTTTGAATGTCGAAGTAAGTTAACTGTAAATTTTTTGTTACATTTTTCATTGAAAGTTGCAGATAATTCGTTTGTTAACTTTGGTTAATTTTGATACAGTTTTCTTTTCTGGATGTAGACTTTTTAATATAAAAGGCGGAATTATTCTAAGAGTAAGTTATGTTTGTTTTAAGTTAAATCTTAATTAAAAAAGTTATCACTGTTATAGATGTTGGGAGGTATATTGACCTATGAGTTAGCAGTAGTTCAGTACGGTGGTACTGTATAACAAAATTATACGAAACATATTTCCGTTGTATTTTATACGTTACTTTGGATTTAATAAATAATAATTGTATCACAATGAATTTTTTTAATCAAATAGATTTTTTTAATATATGAAGTTTTTAACTACAAATCAATAAACTATTTATATGTAAAATTTCTTTCAGTTAAGGAAATTTCAATAATAATACGAAAATTATTAAAGAGGCTATTATTTAATATTACTATATTTACCGCCTTTATGACAAATATACAAGGCTTTAAGTATAGCGTTGTTATTATTACTTACTTACTATTACTGACAATGGAAGTACATTTTCTATTAGATTATAATGCTATATTATTACCCCCTTTGCTAACTAGACATTTTCTTACATTGTGACCCAGAAATACATTTAAAAATGTTGCGTCGTTCGTCAGTACAGAATGAAAATAGCGTCCAAAATTTCCTTAAATTATTACTGATGATTGGAAAAATTGTGGGATTATTACCATTAACAAACGTCTCACATCGAGAACAAATGAGCATCAAACTAAGATCTTGGAGTGTTTTCGTTTCTTTTTTAGTTTGGTTAATCAATTTTTATATTCTACTCATTACAATTCATGATGTGATTATTTCTCATTTTTTTAATCTAATTTTTGGTATATTATTAGAACTAGAACAGATTATTTTTATAATTTTACAATTTCTAGTCCACTTAACTTACTCTTTAAACGTTTTCTGTAATCTTAGCAGTTATTTACATCTTACAACACAGTGGAATGAGATCCTCACACTCTGGAATGAAGTCGATAATAAAATGGAGACAAATTATGGTTATCCGAAAAATCTCACGAAAAAAATTAAGAGAATTGTAATAATTGCGTGCTGTATTTCTGTAGGTAAAATCAGCCATATGTTTATTTAGTCTTTGAAAATTTTTTGTTACACGTTTAAAATTTTTTTTAGTTAATCAAATTTTAGTACCATATACACCCATAAGAGTACTTATTGATTTTGGTTTTTTCCCAAATGTTTCTACAGCTTACGAAATTTTTACACATCTTGTTTTCTTTGTAAGATATTATGTATACCAAAGGAGGCAAACACTACAACCAAAATGTTTCAGATTCAGTCGGTAGCAGCAAAAGCTATTTTACACTTTACTGACTTATTCATTGTTGTAATTGCCTTCGCTTTAAAAACTCGGTTTACTCAAATTACTAAACGTATCCTTCGTAACAGTCAAGTAATCTCAAATTTTGTCTGTAATTCAACAAATATCATAATTTCTGCTGATTTTAGAATGAGTCTGCACATTTTTGGCAAACTATTCGTGAAGATTACAACAGAATGGCACAACTTGTAGAACTTTTAAATAATCATTTTTCCAACATTATTTTATGCTCGTTAGGTTTCAACTGCTTTTGGGTCATGAAGTTACTTTACAACTCTCTTAAGTAGTGTGTTTTAACTGTGTATTTTTCAATTAATCCTTGTCACTATTTTACAGATTTCATGAAAATTATAGTTTCACTTTTTTATACTCTTTCGGATTTCTTCTGTTAAGGTTTTTAGGTGTTCTTGAATTTTGTACGCAAGTTAACAACGAAAGTAAAAAACCATTTTTTGCTATCCAATTTTCAGATATTGATATTAACGATAATGTGGAGGTAGACTGTAAATTTTGTGGGTACCAATTTATTATTTATCCGTTTGTCCACAGATAGACAGACTTCTACGCCAAATCGAATTTGACAATGTTTGTTTTTCAGGATATGGTTTATTTACAATAAAAAGTGGCATCATATTAAGTGTATGTACCAAAAAATTAGCAAAAATACTGGTAAAGGTTCAAACTGTTTTAGGTTGCAGGCGCTATAGTTACTTACGAATTAACGCTATTCCAAGGGCAAACATTTTACAGAACATGAATGAACTTAATTAAGTTAAGTAAATAATATATTGAGCAGTTATATTTAAGATACTCCTATTTTTTTTTTCTTTTATTAAAGACACCTAGAACAATTAAAGTGTTTTTTGTTACTACTAGCAAAGTTAATAATAATTTTCTCGAATCAATATGTGTCTGTTTTATGATTTCAATTTTTTTCACAATTGAAAAGAAGTAATATTTTTCTTTTATTTGTTGTTTTTTCCGCTTCAGAAAATTGATGACGTCATCGTAATACTTTCCGTATGTAGTTCACACTTGAAATGTGCATCATAGCATGGTCCTTAATAATCCATCTATGTTTTTAAATTCACGTATCTGTATGTAAGTATAAATAAAGAAAACTTTTACTATTAAATTTTCACTGTTTAATTTTACTAGCACTTTAGTAAACATTAACCAGAATTTATTTATTCATCGTTTTGAGATCCTATAACTTATGCTTGTGTTAATGGGTTTTTGTTTTTCAAAGCCGTGTAAACAAGATGTTTCAAAGAAATAATATATGAACCGAGCTGTTTGATCGATTGTCTTAGCTCATCTAATTTCTTTAAAACTTTAGAAGTTGGCGTGTTATGTTGTACATGTAAATTTGCGATACCTACATCCTCTAAAAAGTTAATGACGTCAAAAAACAGTATTCAAAACGCTTATAAATTATTTTTGATGATTGGGAGAGCATGGGGTATTTTTCCTATAGCAAGTATAAGAGATCCAGATAAATTTAAGATAAAAATGAAATCTTTCTATTTTATTATTTCTATTTCGATATGGCTGATGTTATTTTATCTTTCAATCGTGGCGATATACGATTATATTTGTTCAAATTTTTTTAATTACTTTTTAGGTAACTATCACATTTGAAAAAAATGTCTACTAAATTATTTATTTCAGTACATTTAACATATACATTAAATATACTTTGTAATTTAAGTTCTTGTCTATATCTGGCTCGAAACTGGCCACATATTATGAAGGAATGGATAGAAATTGAGGATAAAATGAAAGAAAATTATGGCTATCCGAAAAATTTCTGTATGATAATAAATATAATCGTTGTGGTTTGTTCGGGTATCTCTGTAGGTAACACAAAATAATGTTAAAGTAAAGATATAGTTCATCTCAATATTCACAAAGCGTTTTTAGTTAATCAAGTCATCGTTCCACTGAAGGACTATCCTCAACAAGGATTCTTTTCAGACGTTTCAACAAATTTTAACACTTTTATGCATATGCTGTTATTTGTAAGTGAATAACTTAAATTGGATATTTATCTCTATTCAAACTTGCTGTAGATTGAAACCGTTATGGGGAAAACAATAGTGCACTTTACTGATTTATTCATTATTATAACTGCTCTTAGTTTAAAAGTTCGTTTCAGACAAATTAATCGTCGGATTGTTATTAACATTAAAAAGGTAAGAACAATGTCAAAAAAAAAATACAATACGGATTAGTAATTTTAGAATCCAAATCTGTACTTTTGGAAAAGTGTTCGTGAAGATTACGATCAACTAGTGCGATTTGTTGTGAAGTTAGATAACGAATTTTCTTATATGATTTTATCCTCGGTCGGTTTCAACTGTTTTTGGATTGTGAAACTTCTTTACAATTCCTTAAGGTACGTATTTTCATTTTAGGTAAAATAAATGTTTTCAATAATATAATCCCTGTTGCTTTTGTTAACAACACCAAAATATTTTACTGTTGTAGATTCGTTGAAGAAAGGGAAAGTGTAAACTTTTTGTATTCTTTCGGATTTCTGCTATTCAGATTTGTTTCTGTTTTTGAAAGCTGCATCCTGTTAAACAATGAAAGCAAGAAGCCGTCTTTCATCATCCAGTTTAGTGATTTACCTACTACTCACAATGTTGAGGTAAATGGTAACGTATGATTTTTCCACGTATTTTTAATTTTGTTTCAGATCATGCGACTTTTAGAGCAAATTGAATTTGATAGCGCATATTTTTCCGGATACCATTTCTTTCGAATAAAAAACGGAATTATTTTAAGCGTATGGTTTAAAAATTTTGATATAGAGTATCCATTAAAAATGTATTTTAGGTTGCGGGTGCTATAGTTACGTATGAACTGACTTTATTTCAGTGTCAAATGTTTTACAAAACATAATTATATTATATTATATTATAATTAAAATTTTATTTTTACACACGTTACAGCTGCAAAGTCGGAATTACAAGGCACTTAAAATGTTCCAGGAAATTTATCCCCCTCAAAAGACTTCTAAGCATACACATTTTATGCACAAACTTGAAAATTCGCATTGATAATGTTAAATTTGCAATAAAAATAAGTATCACAAAATCTTATTGCAGACTTTTTTTGTCCTTGCCATTTCGAAATTTTTAAAATTCTCCCCAATTTTTCCCAATGTCATGACATTTCAAAAATTTTTATAATAAATTTTATAAAATAGCATACTCTTGTATTTGTTTTATTGAATACAAATTTGCATAATCAAATTTTTTACTATTTAAAAAAAAACAATAATCTTTTATTATTATATCTTAATTATCTTATTTATGAAATAAAAATTTTAATTAAAGAGAGAAAAATGTGTTAAAATTTGGGCCGTTGAGGAGGCATTAGTGTGGAAACAAAAATGGAATAAATCAAGAATCAAAAAATTCTGGAAAATTTAATTCCAAAACGAGTTTATCCTGACACAGTATAGCAGGTTGGGGTTTAAATAAAGAGAAGAAAAACGTGTGTCAAAAAAGCAGTAGATGAAGTAAAATAAAAAGAATTCGATAATATTTAGTGTGAAAGTAATTCTTATTCATTATTCTGTTACCAATTTTTATATAATACATGAGAAGAAATCGATCACTTAGAATACCGAAATTTTAACATTTGACTGGTCAGTCCTTTCGTCGAATCGGCGAATTTTATTTTACATAGAGTTTAATGAAATGTTTAAAATAGATTGTGAACAGAACCAAACACTAAATAAAATGGCCTGAACATATGCACATAAGTAAAAGACTGCATAAAAAAGAAAATAAAATGCTTACAAAATATGTAACAAGACGAAAAAAAATTATGATAAAACAAAAATAAGACAAAATTACCGATGAAAATAGCCTTCATAAAAGATAAAAAAATGTTTAAAAAAACACCCAATTTAAAATTAATGCAAAATTCTAACCTTTAGGCTTCTTCTTCTGCTACAATTTAGCGAATTCCCTCATCTTCATTTACGAACCCACTGCAACAAGAAACACAATAGTATATTAAAGAACGAGTTTCACGAATCCAGGTTTATAGAACGAGCGGCGAAGCCGCGAGTTATACATAGGATGACTGCCACAATGGCCTTATGAACGAGTTATTTATACTATGATGGGTTGGTATGACACGAACCACGAAACATTTGAAGTTCGATTTTTCACAACAACAATTGTAAATCGAATCAATTCGGGTTTTTGCAAGTTAAAATTGGTTAAAATGTCTTGTGAAGAAGTCCTTACGCCTCCCGAAATACGGGAAATTGCACGGAATATTATACAAATTACAAAATTTATTGCCAAATAAATCTCTAACTTTATTTTGACATTTATTGACTTTATTTAATTTGACATTTGTCACTGACATTTTTCGTCATGGCTACCAACCTTACCGATCTAATTTACACTAGATCTATTTCACACCCCCTTTCCGCTATTAACGAACCCATTTGACGTCATTTGGGTGATAGATTTATTTTGGCAGATAACATAATCCTCTGAGAAAATAGGGGCGGGTGGGCGGGGCTAATACTTGCTAAGATAAGACTTATTTTGGCAAACGATATATCCTCTGAAAAAATAGGGGGTGGGTGGGCGGGGCTAATACTTGCTGAGATAAGACTTATTTTGGCAAATGATACATCCTCTGAAAAAATAGGGGGTGGGTGGGCGGGGCTAATACTTGCTAAGATAAGATTTACTTTGGCAGATAACATAATCCTTTGAGAAAATAGTGGGCGGATGGGCGGGGCTAATACTTGCTAAGATAAGACTGATTTTGCCTCTATTAATCTTGCAAAAACTTGTTAAATTTAAAAGGTGTTAAATTGCAAATTTCCATAGTAACGAGTTAAATTCCTAAATCTGATTGGGTGTTTATTTTTTATGTTTCATTCTACTTCAAGAGCGAGAAAAATTCTGTTGAAACAACCTTTGTCCAATTTTTTAAGATTGTGAAACCCTCTCGGGGGGCTCAAATGTCATTTTTTAAGGATATGAAACATTCTCGGAGGTCCCAAATGTTTTTGAAAATATAAAACCTTTTCGGGGACCTCAAATGTCTTTTTTATGATACCTTCGCAGGAGTCCCAATAATCTTTTTAATAATCTAAAACGTTCTCGGGGGCCCCAAATGTCTTTTTTTTAATGTGAGACTTTCGCGGGGGTTACAACTGTCTTTTTTAAAATTGTAAAACCTTCTCAGGGGTCCCATTTGTCTTTTTTTAGAAATGTAAAATCAAGTTAGGGACCCCAAATGTTTTTTTTAAATGTGAAACCTTCTCGAGGGTCCCAATCGTCTTTTAAAAATATAAAACCTTCTCGGGGGTCCCAATCGTCTTAAAAATGTAAAACCTTCTCGGGGGTCCCAAGTGTCTTGTAAAAATGTAAAACCTTCTCAGGGGTTCCATTTGTCTTTTTTAGAAATGTAAAATCAAGTCAGGAGCCCCAAATGTTTTTTTTTAATGTGAAACTTTCTCGGGGGTCCTAATCGTCTTTTAAAAATATAAAACCTTCTCGGGGGTCCCAAGAGTTTTTTGTAAAAATGTAAAACCTTCTCGGGGGCCCCAATCGTCTTAAAAATGTAAAACCTTCTCGGGGGTCCCCAGTGCCTTTTGTAAAAATGTTAAACCTTCTCGGGAGTCCCAAATGTCTTTTTTTTTATGTGAAACCTTCTGGGGGGGTCACAACTGTCTTTTTGAAAATTGTAAAACCTTCTCGGGGGTCCCATTTGTCTTTTTTTAGAAATGTAAAATCATCTCAGGGGCCCCAAATGTCTTTTTTAACTGTGAAACCTTCTCGGGGGCCCCAAATGACTTTTTTTTAATGTGAAACCTTCTCGGGGACTTCAAGTGTCTTTTTTTTAATGTGAAACCTTCTTAGAAGTCCCAACATTTTTTTTTTTATGTAAAATCTTCTCGAAGGCCCCAAATGTCTTTTTTTTTAATGTGAAATCTCGGGTAGAAAAACAAAAAAAAATACCATAGAAGTTAACATTAAATTTATATCTACCTACATACTAACTTTTAACAACGGTGCAATTCAACATTACACAGGTTTAATAAGTAAGTAGATAAAATTTAAAAAACACTAACCTGAAAAATTTTGAAATCGCAATATAAATTCTGAGCAAAATTTTACATTTACATCACGCGATTCTTGGTGAAGATGAACAGAAAAAATCTGTACAGATTTAAAATACACCAAAAAAAAAAAAGGTTCGGGGACTATTTGCCTAAAAATTCGTTAACAAACAGGTAGATGAAAACGAAAAATCGATATTTTCACTCCATAAACTGGGGAATATCCAGAAAACAAGAAATGGAAGTCTAATTCTGCTGCACTAAATTGAGAACATTCTAACTTTAATTTAACCGAAACTTCAATAAACACTTACCAATAAACACAAACAACTCAAAGTTTTGCTGTTAGTAAACTTCTTTTAGCTGTAGTTAAGGATGCCCCAAATACAAAAATATTTTCAGAAAAATTCTGAAATTTAAATGTTTCAGAAAACAATAACGATAATTGCAATGAATAATATTATTAATTGCAGTGATGTTTAAACGTAAAGACGTGCCATAATGAGAAAAAAATCAAAATTGGATTTAATTTTTAAATAATTAACGTAGATAAAAACCAATTAGATATTCCAAATTCTTTCAGCCGAAAAGGCCAGTTTTAAAGAAAAGATATCGGACGAGATATTAACGTTTGAGTTCTTGTTGAAACAAACATATTTGTTAACTCATTAAATAACGATTTGTACAATGCAACAACTACTTCTCTCTTAACATCCGTATTTTTATACCAATTGAGAATAAAAGAACTTAATAAATAAGGCACAATACATTGAATAATAGACCAATACAAAAAACATAATAGCAACACTTACCCTTTAAATCCTGATATTTTTTCCTTCCGCGTCGATCCTTGCAGACTCCTTCCTCATGGGCACATCACAACACTCATCTTTCACTTTAAGCCCGAAATGAAATTATTTTTAACAAAAATAAGCCACTTAAACAAACTAATTTTCACCGCAGACGCGCTCGACAGTCAAAACCAACAGAACTCCTATGCGTAACATGAAAAATTAACAAAAAATTCTCGCCGTACACCGTATCAAACTTTTTTTGCAGAGTTTTTATTCATCGATGCATCGCACGATAAACGAATTTTAATTAAAATACTGCAACAGTATTATTCATTAGCAGAACATTATTTTTGGCGCTGTGCATGTGGATGAATAAGAAATTACGAATGTTACAATAACAAATTATAAAATTCGATTTAAATACGTCTTTTGAAAATATTTTATTTTTCAACAGTTAACATAATGACACGACACAGAATTCAAATCTTTTCACCATTTCTGCCAAAATATTCATGTAAAATAGATTCATACGGGGTGTTTCGACGGTCAAAGGGCGAAAAATTAAACTTTGGCTGTAGACTAATAGAGCTATAATTTATAAATATTTTCAAACATATAGAGTGTTCCGTTTTACTTATACAACAAAGTGTTTACTTTCAGAGCGTAAGTTAGAAAAGTACCTATTGTAATAAATAGAACCCATTTGGCTACTGTCATGCTTTATCAACGTTTCATAATCATAACCACCAGAATGTAAAAAAATTGGTCGAAGTTTCTCTAGGCAGAATTTACCTCACCCCTGAAACAAATCCCGCCTTTTTGAAAAATGATGAAATTGCAAGGTACCCTGGTCCGCACAAGTGCGATCGAGAGAAAATATATTTAAACCAGATAACCAACCGGAAAACGAATTCTTAGTAATTACATCCTTAAGCTAAGTGCGAATTCGTAAACTACAAGTGTAGGAGTATACGATTTTATAAAATATAAAAAATATTTATTGTTAAAAATTTGGAAGGGATGACTAGACAAATTTTGGTTATTCCTAATATGCACACAAAATTTGACAAAAATCGGTCCTGTAGTTTGGGAGATTACGTGCCTAATAAAAATGGATACAGACGCCAGACAGACAGGCGGAACCTTGAGACTACTTTTTTCGTTCTCTAGGGGTCATGAAACGTCGAGAAAACATATAAGTGGCCATTCGCCCGATGTACTCTATTATTATACTTCCTAAGCTTACGCTCAGGAATAAAAATTGAAAACGATTGTTTGTACGATTAACAGACAGTTTGAATAACATGCATTATTAGATATGATAATAATACGTCTTTTAAAAGACAAAAAAAAAACCAAATAAATTAGTAATTCGATAAACTCTCCACAGCAACTGAACGAAAATGTTACAAAACCAGGACAATATTCAAAATTCATATAAATTATTATTGATCATCGGAAAAACTTGGGGTATTTTTCCCATAGTAGATTTAAAATATCCAGAAAAATTTAAGACAAAAATCAAATATTTTTATTTTATTTTTTATATTTCCATATGGCTAATGTTAATTTATCTTTTAATTATGGCGATATATGATTATATTCGTTCAAACTTTTTTAATTACATTTTAGGTAGGTACCATATTGGAAGAAGAAGCCCACTAAATTATTTATTTTCAGTTCATATAACATACACTTTAAATATACTTTGTAATTTAAGTTCTTGTCTATATGTGGCTCAAAAATGGCCAAATATTATCAAGGAGTGGATAGAAATTGACGATAAAATGAAAGAAAATTATGGGTATCCCAAGAATTTCTCTAAAACAGTAAACATAATTGTTATAGTTTGTTCGTGTGTCTCCGTAGGTAACATAAAATAATATTGAAGTAAGTTGTACGTAGGTACGGATATTTGACAGGGTATTTGTAGCTAATCAAATCGTTGTTCCATACGGTCCATTGAAGTTCTACCTTGAACATGGATATGTGCCAGAGGTTTTAACAAATTTTACAATTTTTATGCACAGTCTGATGTTTGTAAGTGACTACGATTAATTAGATATTTATCTCAATTAATTTTTTTTCAGATTGAATCCATTATAGGGAAAACAGTAGTGCACTTTACTGATTTATTCATTGTTATAACTGCTCTTAGTTTAAAAGCTCGTTTCAGACATATTAGTCGTCGGATTAGTGCTAACATCAGAAAGGTAAGAACAACATTTTGGAAAAAGAAACATTACGATAAGTAATTTTAGAAACCTGGTCTGTGCTTTTGGCAGAGTGTTCGTGAAGATTACGACCAATTAGTGCGATTTGTTAGGAAGTTAGATAATGAATTTTCCTATATTATCTTATCCTCGGTCGGTTTTAATTGCTTCTGGATTATGAAACTGCTTTATAATTCTTTAAAGTAGGATGAGTTATATACAGTTCTTGAAAAAATGTTATACATTTTTTTTATTATTGGTTGTTTTGTTGTTTTCGGTCAATATTTTTATACTTTGTTATCTAATTACTAGTTGCAAAACACATTTGGCAAACGTAAAAAATCGTATTGTTACAGATTCGTTGAAGAGAGGCAAACTCTAAACTTTCTGTATTCTTTCGGATTTTTGTTATTAAGATTTCTTTCTGTTTTTGAAAGCTGCATCCAGTTAAATAACGAAAGCAAAAAACCAGCTTTCATCATCCAGTTTTGTGATGTACCTATAGACAATGTTGAGGTAAATCACAACGTATGATTTTTCTACGTATTTTTTATTTTGTTTTAGGTCATGCGACTTTTAAAACAAATTGAATTTGACAGTGTATATTTTTCCGGGAACCGTTTATTCCAAATAAAAAATGGAATTGTTTTAAGCGTACAATTTAAAAAATATTGATATTCGACGTCCATTAAAAATTATGTTTTAGGTTGCAGGTGCTATAGTTACGTACGAATTAACGTTGTTTCAGGGTCAAATGTTTTACAGAACATAATTACTGTCGTTTTGGTTTCATTAAATTACCGAATAAAATTTACAAGCTAAAGTTTGGAAGCAAATTAGAAATTTATGAGTGACATTGTGGAAGTTATTACATTATTGATATTTTTAGTAGTCAACTTTGTAAAATTTACTGCACAAATGAAATATTAAATTAATTCTCTTAAGGTATTTATTGATTAAAATAAAAATGAAAAGTAAGAAGATTCGGATTAGTAATTTCGCCTTCTGTATATTTTTCCATTTTCATTAAGGTACAAATTGCCTGAATGTCTTTAAGTTCATTTCATAAAGAAGGGACAATTTTTCGAGAAATTTAAAAAAATTACGAACAGTTGTGACAATTTGTGTAATACTAACAATATTTAACAAATTTAGTTTGATGATGTTGAGAGGAGAGAAAATATTGTTACGAAATTAACCCATACACCGCCCCGGTACGACGCCTATGGGTTCTATGCACGGCGATGATGACTCATTGTCGGTGACGTCGGCCGGAGAAGAGCCTGGAAGCGGATGTCGCGACGGGTGTTCGAGAACAAGCCTAGAAGCGGTGACGTGGACCTTCGAGAAGGACAAATTGTGACACATTTAATCCTTTCCTACAACGCAGATTGTCAACAGTTACATCAAATTCATCTGAATATTACTTCCCGCCAAACTGCAAATCTCAAAGATTTAAATGTCATCCCACTTAATTTTTACTCTGCCTTTATTGACGGCATTCATTTAGAATTTCTTGATTACTGAAACAATCGCTATTTTGATAGATCGTTTGTTTATGAAATTGGATGTATAGAAACTTTGACCAATGTTTTTAATCTTTTATCTAACTTCACCTGCCTACACCCTACAACCCATAATATAATATTAAATACTGATAAAATTATTTATGTTACTGGAGTAAATCGATACGATATTATACCCTCGATAATTTTTTGTGCGTGCGTTTGAAGTTCTGATCAAATGAAAATATCACAGATACAAATAAAACAACTATCAATTTAGAATTTCGAGGATAATAGGATTGTTAAAAAAGTCCCGATTAACTTATCATTACCTTAAGTGTACTATGTTTAACGGTCAGTCACGCATACAGGATTTGTCGTGTGGTTGTTAGAAAATGTTAACATGTGCGTGATTTAGATAAAACGAATGACTATCTATCAATCTGAAAAGAAGTCTTGAATTAAAATGGAAAACTTATAAGATGCATATTTTATTAAGCTCGGAAAGTAGAACATTAAGAAGTGACAAGCAACCACGGATAGTGGATTCCTTATTTCTGGTAGCAAAGATGGGAAAAATTTTGGGAATATTCCCTTTGAAAAATATTTATGATGATAAAAAATCACCAAACTTTAAATCTTGTATTTTTCTGTTTGCTGGTATTATTTGTGTTATTGATTTTGTGATAGTAATTTTGACACTTGCTGACTGGATAATTCTGCAAAACACTTCAAAATTTGGTAAGAGGTCAATTTGACGTTCATAATTAGAGACTGATTTTCTACATTTTTCTTTCATATTTTACTCACAGTTAATGAATCTTTTAAAACTTTAATAAAAGTTTAGGAAAATATTATATTACAAATATTATTTCATACTTATCAACAATTTATTCGTCAGCATTATGTTTCAGTTAATTTAGTCTACAATTCAGAAATATTCTTTTCTTTGAGCTTCTTCATTTACTTTACACAAAAATGGCATGGTGTTGTAAGTTTATGGAAAACAGTTGATCAGAAAATGGCGTCGTCATACGATCACCCTAAAAATTTTAAAATAAAAATCAATATTTTATTAATCATATATTGGATTATGTCTGTGGGTAACCACTTTGGATCTCCCATGCATTCTATTGTTAGTCTGTTCGAACAAACTTCAGACGAAATAACCGAGTTTAGTTTTTTACCGGAATATAATAATTTCTTTTCGAAATTATTGACGGTAATAGAGTAACATAATGAGCTTACAACATTTACTTCAAGAAATTACAGCTTCATTCGGTGTTAGGCAAAACCACAATGCATTATCGAGATATTTTTCTCATTATAACTGCTCTAGTTTTAAGAGAAAAATTTTGGCAGGTTAATCAACGAATAAAGCAGCATAAAGAGGTAAGTCGTTTCTCATTTAACACCAAATATATTAGTAATTATTGTAGACCACATGTACAGATTTTTGGAAAGAAATTCGTGAAGATTATGACAGAATATCGCAACTGGTCAAAACTCTAGACAACGATCTTGGTTTCTTGGCCATAATAGCAGCTGGATATAACGGATTTTGGATTCTCAATTTTTTTTATCGAACCTATATGTACATAAAAATCTTAGTGGAAACTAATACTAAAACGTTTCTTGTAGTGCCAAATTTTCTAGCTCCGCCAACTTGTTCTTTTTCTACCCCTTTGGTTATATTTTGTTAAGATTCTTCGCAATGTTTTTAAGTGGTGCTGTTCTCAATGATGAAAGTATAAAACCTTCCAATATTATTCAATTTGCGGATTTGCCTGTTCTGAATGTAGAGGTTAGTAGACGCGTTTTATAAACGAAAAAATTTGTTATATGACATATTTTTAGATATCACGTTTGCTGACTCAAATTGAGTTTGATCACGTTTTTTTATCAGGATGTAAAGTCTTTAAAATGAAGAGAGGAATCATTTTAAGTGTAATGTTGCATTCGTTTGTTAGTAATAAATTTTTAACGAAACACTTTTAGGTTCTTGGAGCTATAGTAACGTACGAATTGACTTTGCTTCAGTATGGAATTTTTGGAGCAAAATAATTTTAAAACTAAAAAATAAATAGGTAATTCCTTGTTTATTAACAAATTGAATTTTTTGATGGTTCATCTTTTGTTTCTGCATTTCTACTAAATTGTATAACTACTAACTCATATGTGACTACAGCGCTGGCTATCTAAAAAAAAAAAAATTAATACGGACATGAGTGTTTTTTACTATTTACCTTTAATACAAGTTGTCTTGATATTTTGAAGAACTTTTTTCCTGTAAGTCCAGCCGCTTGATACTTAATACTTTGCATGAATCTCAGTATCTGTAATTATTAAAAAGTAGACATATTTACAAAAATCGTTTTTTGTTCATGTTACCTCCCTGTTGTAAAATTCTGGAGAAATAGAAGAAATTAATTCCACACCTTTTTTACTTTCCTCGTGTATCCAGCTGCCATACAAACATATTGAAACTATGCGTAACAATAATAGTCCTAATGAAATGTAATAATAGATTACTTCCAGTGCTGTAGCTTTGTGTAAATTTAAGCTTCCAAACACTTGAAATATAATGAAATAAAAGTTATTAAAAAATGATATAAGTATGAGAAATGACATTTTGTCGTCGAGAAGGGCACATAATTGACACATTCTGTTATAGTCTTCGTTAACAGAGCCCCAGCTTCGTTCTGATTGTACCTTGGAACAGTAAAATTATTTTAGCACCAAACGTAAAACAATGCGTACTTTCATGTTTTTCAAGCAACGAACCCTATAATTGATTTGTCCAAACCTCATAGCCAGCGCACAACTGATTAATATTATAAACAGGTCAATAAAAGTCCAAGAGAAAGCCATTCGCGTGTTAACAAACTGAAAAACTAGACCCAACCAAGGCGAATAAAAAGGTTTTATTACGTCAAATATGACAGGGAAAGACATATTGACTGTAAAATGTTCAAAACCTTTAGCGAGTGACCCTTTACATTGAACTGCCACTATTAGTTTGTTCGCTTGAATGGAAAAATGTTCAGCTAGAATTTAATCTTAAATCAAGCTAAACGTTCAACACATGCAAACTATACCAGTTTCCAACAGTAAAAATACAGCAGACACAATTTTTATTCTCCGATTCAAGTTCCGGGGCCAGCCATATGTTGCCATAGCTATATCGACTTCTTGCCATTTTAAAATAATTTGAGGCCACTCGGTAGCCATTTTAATGAAATATATGCACGAGAGGCATCCGCAAGTGTAAAAAATTACACCATCTGAAAATAACAGTAAAAAGATGAATCAAATCTTATTTGAGAATTGAAAAAGCTTACTCATTTCAAATTGATCATACTCAGTAAGTATCATGTGTCTTATATGACCCAGAGCCACCAAAAAACCACCAGTGCATGTCAAAATTGCTGATAAAATTCGTACAGACATCCAGGAAAAGCCCACGGAATTCGGCGTCTTGCTCAGGACCCCTTGAACAGGAAAGAACCCGAATATTTGTGCAACCACGAAGATAAATCTTAAAGATTTGTGGATGTTGTGTTCTTGCGGAGTTATCGTGACACGTTTTTTCGTTCTTGTCTTTTTCCTGAAATTAGACAGTTTTTGATAAAAATCACTATTTGAGTTTTGTACTCACCACATGCTTGCGGCAGTGTTGCAATTAAGGATCTGTTAACGATAAAAGTATTGGAAGTGTATTTGCTAACGTCAGGTACAATATTTTATTAAAAACTGCAATGAAACATGGATCGAAATTAAGTCGTGTTTTCGAGTTCAGGGTTCAACATCATTTTTCGATTGGGGGTAAATAAGGAAGGTGTTGTTCCGTTGTTTCGTAATTTATTTTAGCAGTGACAGGTGTCGGTAACACTAAATAATCAAAACAAGTCCTTATTGTAAGAGATTTTTTGTAAAAATATTTTTATACTTTAGTCTGAAATTGTTGTTTGGTACGGTTTAATATATAATAAAATGTAAGCGTATATACACTTGGTAAAATTTATATGTAGCTGTAGGTGTGTACAAAGCAAATGAGATAAAAAAGATAATAAAACAGGGGAAGATCTGTCAACCAGCTGATTGATGAAAACTGTTATTAAAGCCTGTACCACTGTAATGTATTTCGTCATCGTAGTTTGGAATCAATTTTGTGTTGAACTGAAGTACCACTAATTCATACGTCACTAACGCACCAGCTATCTAAAATACAAAACGATATACATATTTATATCTAAAATGAAACAAGTCATACTTTGAAGATAGTTCCTCTGGTAATAGTAAACAATTTTTTTCCAGAAATCACACACTTCATAAAAATCGCTTGATTTGTGAATCTTTCAATCTAACAAAAACAAAGTCAGGACTTTAGTTTCGCAAATAGTACTTTTATTACCTCTAGGTTGTACAAAAATGATGGAATGGACAGCAGACATTTAAAAACGTTATTATTTTCTTCGTGGACTGATGCTGCATACCACGAAACCGCAATTAATTTAGAAGTATCAATAATAATTGACATAGAGTAATGAGCTTTTTTTAAAAAGCTCCTTTCGATTCGAGCAGCACCAAACCAGTCGATTATAATTAAGTATAAGTTGGTGGCGTAAGACAATAAAATTAAATTTCCTAATTTATCGTTAATGGACGCGCAAAGTTTGCACAGATAAAAATGTTCTGTTCGGAGCGATTTCCACAGAACTTTATTTCGGATCTAAAATTTAAAGCTAAAAATAGTACGTTTCTAGAATCACAGTTTAATACTTTGTCTTTAATTAGAAGTTTTATTTTAGATTTAAGTTGAATCAGTCTTAGTGAAAAAGACAGACAAATTAAAATTATAACGATGTCTACAAACAAGTAGCCAAAGGCAGAGACGTAACTCACAATCTAAAAAAAATTGTACGTCATTATGTTAGTTTATAAAATGGAACTTGTACGAGAACTATTACAGCTCGATAGGGATCATAACCAAAGATTCGAAAAATATATGAATATAAGAATACTTTGTTAAAGTAATATTTAAGACCTTCTGTAAGTGTACTTGCGCTTTTTGATATTGTCGTGATGTAATATAACTGTCTTGTGATTAAGTGCACTGAAATCAGGGTTTCGAAACAATGATTTAATAAAGGGTAGTACTTACCCGTCCGTACTAGCACAAATACTATTGCTATAAATTTACATTTTCTCCTTACATTTACTCGTATTCTTCCGTACTGCATCCTTTTTTCAACAAAATTCCAACTTTCCATTAAACTTGGCCACTCTTTTGCCAGTCTAATGAATGTTACATGAGATAGGAACGTCATAGAATTAAAAATGAAGAGAACAAGTAGAGCTAAAACGTAGTATTAGGTATATTAATTAATAGTAAATATTAATACTAAAGTACCAGTGTTATCCGATCTCTTAGCATTTAACACCATGATAGGAACTATTGTAAATGTTAAAATTCCCATAAAGAACAAAACCGTCAAAGCATAGGCAGTGATTAAACAACGCCATTTAAAGTGTAAAAATTTATATTCTTGGGAAGAAATTCCTAGGACAGGAAAAAACCCTAAAATTCTAAGTATAGATAAAGGAAAGTACATCGAAGTATGAACATTAATATCATTTGGCTCAAGGAAACGCATTTCTGTTACTAATCGACTTGATTAATGCTGTTTTAGTTTTTGTTCCCAACCCTACATTATACTAGGAATTGAGAAGTTGTAAACAACATAAATAAGTGTTGTTTACTATATTGTTAAGTATGAATGAAATTATTGTGCGGTAGGAAAATCACTGATATAAAAATAGAAAGAACTTTATTAATATTTAATTTACAATAAGTATTTTATCATCATTTATACCACTAGTTAAAGAAATCTAAGAATTATGTTGATATTAATGACTAGTTTTATTTAAATTAGTACCAACATTAATTTTGGTATAATTTGTGTGTTTAATTGTTTTAGTACCAACTGGTATGTGGCCACAATACCAGCAATCTAAAAGAAAACAATAATATTAGAAATACTACTACTCGTCAAAAATCTTACAGTCAAAATAGCTTTTTTTCTTACTGTAAAAAATCTCTTTCCAGAAATAGCGACTTCTATATACAACACTTGATCAGTAAGTCTACAAATCTACAAAAAAATTAGTTCTACATTTATTTACATTTTTCATTTATGCTTTTACTAACTTCCAAATTGTACGAAGAAACTGGTATGGAAAGCACGTAAGTCCGAATTTTTGACTGTTCTTCATAAAATCCAGCAGCATAAAAACTAACACCCAGCGTTTTTAAAACTACTGACGCATTAGTTAGATGAAAACCAAGAGGTTTGAAGATATTGTTCGTAATTTTAAAAACGGATGCTGCATTAACAACAATAAGAAATACATTTGTAAAAAACGATAACAACACCATTGATCCAAGTTGAGTGTTAATATTTTCGCACAAACAGCAAAACTGATAATGTTCTTCCCTAACACGTTTCCACACTCTAGCATTATTAATCTTTAAAGATATGTGTGATTATTATGTTTTTCTACTTGTACATATTACATACCTTTGTTTTAACTAATATTTTAATTTTATTTTTTAGTTGTTTTAGTCTTGTCACAAGTATGGCAGATAACATTATCAACAAAAAATCCACAAAGAAGTGGATGAATGTTACCTGAATATACAATATCTGTAACATGAAATTATTTTGCTTTTATTACATTTTAATTGATATATACCCATATTATCACACCTATGTAGAAATTATATTCTATCACCAGAAACACATGCGAAAAAAGTAAAATCTTTAAGGCAAAAAATTTAAAAGCTTCTGTTGTTTCTTGTTCTACCGCTACTAGAAATTGGTACGTATGTTGAAATAGTATTCCAGCTGAAACTTTATATGTAAATAACAAATCTTCACATGTAGTAAAATTACCAGTCTTAATAACTATAATTAAGATGAGAAAAATGTTAGTATTTTTAAGCAGTTGTGTATTTATTTTAAAAATTCCCATTTTGTCTTCTAGCTTCTTCCAAGATACCATAAAACTTGGCCATTCTTGCGCTAGTTTTATAGAAAAACTGAAACCAAAAACTTGAGTTGACGAGTATATTAGTAGTGCTAAGAATTAAGTTTAAATTAAGTGAATTTTGAAAATGTATTAACATTACTTAAGTAATCAGAGACGTTTTTTTGGATGATCATAGCCACAATAGCTAACAAGGTTACAAAAACTGAAAATAGTAGTAGCAACAATGAATAAATCGTCTTAAAAGAGAACCATGAAAATTTTAGTAATCGACAGTTGTTTTCAGATAAACCTTGTACAGGAAAATAACCCATTATTTGACTAATGATTAGAAATAATTTTAAAGTGGAATGTATATTTTCGTCCATATGTCAAGTTATTGTTAAAGTAGTCACTCAGCTAAAAGTTTTATTTACAATGAGATAATCTTAACATTGTATTGTTAAAAACTTGTTTACTTGTATCAGACACGGAATGGACAAAAGCAGGCTGAAGTATAGGTACATATATTATGAGCCTAATTACTAGTTTCAGTCGTTAATAACGTCAATATTACAACCAATGTACTCATTTATATCAATTAAACTTGTTCTTAGAATAACAACAAAAATAAAGACTTCGGTGCATGCATTTATATTTTTTTAAGTTACAGAAATTATTACAAAATAATCCCAAAATCAAATATTATAATTTTTCAAAGATGGGGGATCTGTTGGATTGTACTTCAGGAATGAGGGAAGTTCTGTCGAAATAAATTTCGACCAATTTTTTCGTGACAAACATCGAATCAGGCAACTCACTCTGAATTATTTTCAAAGTCTCTTTAAAATTAACATTTTTATATATATGAGTATATAAACTACAATATAGTAAAATAATTCTTATTTTATTATTACTCCTATTAAATATAGGCGGCGCAACATTACAATACTACACAACAGTAATAACTTGTTTACTGTTTTGTTAAGGAAAAAAGAATTGGAATAAAATAAAAACAACTTTAATAACATTTAATATACAATACGTATTTTATCGTGGTTTATACAAGTAGTTAAGAAATCCAAGAATTATGTTGTTAATTACGACTAGTTTTTCGAATATGCAGTTTTATTTAAATTAGTATCAATATTAAAATTTGGTATAATTTGTGCGTTTAATTTTTCTAGTACCAACTGGTATGTTGCCACAATACCAGCAATCTAAAAGAAAACAATACTATTACAATACTACCACTCGTAAAAATCTTACACTCAAAAGAGCTCTTTTTCTTACAGTAAAAAATTTCTTTCCAGAAATAGCGATTTCCATGTACAACACCTGATCAGTAAGTCTGCAAATCTACAGAAACAAAGAATCAATTAGTTTTACATTTTTATCTTTACATTTCTACTTTTACTAACTTCCAGATTAAACAAAGAAACTGGTATGGAAAGCATGTAACTCCGAATCGTGGACTGCTCTTCATAAAATCCAGCAGCATAAAAACTAATACCCAGAATTCTTAAAAATATAGTTGCATTAGTTAGATGAAAGCCAATAGGCTTTAAGATACTATTCGTGACTGTCAAAATAGATGCTCCATTAACGATAACAAGAAATAAATTCGTAAAAAATGATAGTAACACCATATATCCAAATTTAGTGTTGATAGTTTCGCACAAATAGCAAAGCTGATAATGTTCTTGTCTAACATGCTTCCACACTCTCGCATTATTAATCTTGGCTTTAACTAGTATTTTAATTTTATTTTTAAGTTGATTCAATCTTGTCACAAGTATGGCAAATATCGCTATCAACAAAAGATCTATAAAGTAGCAGATGAATGTTACCTGAACATATAATATCTGTAACATTTTTAATTAAATTATTGGTTTCATTGCATTTTAATTGTAGATATACCCATACTATGACACCTGTGTAGAAATTATATTCTACTACTAGAAACACGTGAGAACATAGGAAAGTCTTTAATATAAAAAATTTAAAAATTTCTGCCAGTGTTGTTCCGTGTTCTGCAGATATCATAAATTGGTATGCATGTTGACACAATATTCCACCTGAAACCCCATATGCAAATAAAAATCTTTATCTAATGTAAGAGATAGCAAATCTACCAGTCTTGAAAATTATAATTGTAACGACTAAAATTTTAGTATTTTTAACTAATCGAGTATTCATTTTAAAATTTCCCATTCTGTCTTCCAAGTTTTGCCACAATGCTATAAATCGTGGCCATTCTTGAGCTAGCTGTATCGAAAAACTAAAGCCTAAAACTTGAGTTAAACAGTATGTTAGTAGTGCTAGAAATTAAACTTAAATTGAGTGAAATTTTGTAATGCATTAAACTTATTTACTTAAATAATCAGAGAAATTTTTTCGGATGATCATAGTCACAATAACTAACACGGTTACAAAAACTGAAAACAGCAGCATTAACAATGAATGAATCGTCTTAAAAGAGAACCATGAAAATTTTAGTAATCGAACATTGTTTTCAGCTAGACCTTGTACAGGAAAATAACCCATTATCTGACTAACACTCAGAAATAATTGTAGAGTGGAATGTATATTTTCGTCCATACGTGATGTTATTTTTAGAGTAGTCTTTCAGCTAAAAGTTTTATTTTCAATAATCTTAACATTGTGTTGTTAAAAACCTTGTTTACTTGTATTAGACACGGCATGGATAAAATATACATACATTGTGAACGTAATTACTAGCTGCAGTCGTTAGTAATGTCAACGTTACAAACAATCTATTTACTGTTTAACAAAAAATACACATTCTTAGAGCAATGATAAAAATAAAGGTTTCGATGCTTTCCACACAACTGAATTAATTCTCTACTGGGAAAAGAGCGCTAGCAACCGTCCTCCACTGGAGATGAAATTTCTATATTTTTTGTACATTCGTAACTCCGACACCTAAAAGAACTCATTACATAAAACTTATTTGATTTAACCTAACTTTAATTAGAGCAAATTTCTGAAGTAACAAATGTTAATCCTATTTGATTAATTAATATTTATTTCGTTGTTTGGTTTTTTAATATTAATATTTATAAATAACAACCTGCTACTCTGACAGCAAAATTTTGACTGTGCTCCTATTAACGACAGGGCGACATACGGCAGACGACAGACAGACTGAAACATGAAACCACTTTTTCGTATGCTAGGAATCGTGAAGCATCAAGAAAAGATGAAAGTAGCCAGTCGTCCGATGGACCCTATTGCAGTACTTCAAAAAGGAAATTGTTGTACGACAAGAGAATAATAAACCTAAAAGAAGACTTTAATATTAATCCTTCATTTACAATATTTTTATAAAAAGTTTTATCCTAACTTGTACTATAGTAGTTAAAGAATTCCAAGAATATTGCCTAGTTTTTTGGATATCCACTTTTATTTGTATTGTGTAAAACATTAAAATTTGGTACAATTTGTGTGTTTAATTGTTGTAGTACCAACTGGTATGTTGCCACAATACCAGCCATCTACAAAGAAACAGTATCGCTACAAATATGTACCACTAGTCACAAATTCTTACTATTAAAATAGCGCTTTTCCTTACAGTGAAAAATCTGTTTGCAGTAATAGCGATTTCTAGATATAACACCTGATCAATAAGTCTGCAAATCTAGAAGAATCCACCAAACATTTAATTTTACTACACATTTCTGCTTTTACTTACTTCTAAATTGTACAGCAAAACTGGTGCGGAAAGCATGTACGCCCGAATTTTGGTATGTTCTTCACAAAGTGCACCAGCATAAAAGCTAATACTTAGTACTTTTAAAACTATAGTTGTGCTGGTTAAATTAAAGCAAATCTTCTCCATGATATTATTCGTAATTTTGAAAGCAGATCCTCTATTAACTATAATAAGAAATAAATTAGTAAAAAACGATAGTAACACGATAGATCCTAGCTTAGTGTTAATAGTTTCACACAAATGGCAAAGCTGATAATGTTCTTCTCTAATGCGTTTCCACACATCCTCCCTGTTCATCTTAAAATATATGTGTAATTATTATATGTTTTACTTATATTATATTTCCTACCTTTGCTTTAATTATTATCTTAATTTTATTTTTAAGTTGTTTTAGTCTTGTCACAAGTATTGCTGATAACGCAATTAACAAAAAATCCACGAAGTATCCAATTAGTGTTACGTGAGTATATAATATCTACAACATTCAATTAATTTTTGTGGGTTTTATTAAACTGTAATCTTGAATATACCCATATCACAACACCAGTGTAAAAATTGTATCCGACTACTAGGAACACATGAGAACACAGGAACATTCTTAAAGCAAAAAATTTAAAAACGTCGGTGACTGTTATTTCTTGTTCTGCAGCTCTCATCAGTTGGTACGAATACTGACATGTTATTCCCACTAAAATCCCGTGCATACAAAACAAATACATGTTAGAAGTAAGAGTACTACTAGCCCTGATGATTATAATCACGATAATTAAAATTTTGGCATTTTTAACTAATCGAGTAGTCATTTTAAAATTTCCCATTTTATCTTCCACCTTGTTCCAAGATACCATAAAATCTGCCCATTCCTGTGCTAGTCGGATAGAAAAACTGAAGCCTAAAACTTGAGTCGAACAGTATATTAGCATTGCTACAAACTAACTTTAAATTAAATGAAATTTGATAGTATAGTAAAAATACTTAAATAATCGGAAAAGTTCTTTCGTATGATCATAGTTACAATAATTAATAAGGTTACAAAAACTGAAAAGAGCAATAGTAACAATGAATAAATTGTCTTAAAAGAGAACCATGAAAATTTTAGGAACTGAGAATTGTTTTCAGATAAACCTTGTACAGGAAAATAACCCATTATTTGACTAATAATCAGAAATAATTTTAAAGTAGAATGTGTATTTTCTTGCATCTGTGATTTTTTAACGCCGTCAGCAGTTAAACGTTTTATTTTCAGTACAATAATCGTAACATTCTATTGTTAAAAACTTGTTTACTCGTATTAGACACGGAATGAACAACACAGACTAAAATATACATACATAACAAATGTTACTACTAAATGCAGTCATTAATACTATCAACCTATCAACAAACAATATGATTAAATATAATATTCATTCTTAGAACCATAATAAAAGTGAAAGCTTTCTTTTTGTGGAACTTATTGATAGACGTAAATATAACAATTGCTCAAAAATTGTTTTCATGTTTCCTTATTACCAATAAAAAAAGATCATCAATGATAATGATTAAAACAAGCTGTCAACAACATGTGGCTGTCTTTGATAATGTTTTTTTATTGCTCTTACAGTATTAAGTTAGTTCATGACAATAAATCATAAATTTGAACAAAAAATTACCCAGTCAATTATTTATTACGGAAAAACATTAATTACTCTTGCTAAGTAGTTGACTGAAATTAACTCTCCTTATGGTCCTTAAACCGTATTTAAATTTCTAAAGTTTTTCGTACATTTATAAATTGGAAATGCGAAAAAATGTGTTTATTACACCTTTACAATTTTTGTTTTTGCTTTAAATTTTTTTTTTAATTAATTATTTTTTATTCAGTCTGTCTCCTATTTACTTCTCCTTCTTGTTAACAATTTTTAAATTTGTGTTTTTTTTCTCCACTCTTCAATATCTTGTTAATCTTGTATCCCTATACATTTTCTTTTCACTCGAACTTCCACTTCTACTTTGTTTATTTAGACAAAATTTCCCTCGCCCCTTCAGTAACTACGTAATATAATGAGCAGGCATCATCAAGTTGTTGCTGGGGATGATTGTACAAATTTTGGTTAGCGCTTTGCCATCTACACGACACTCCTAAGGTAGATATAAAATTTGATTTAGTAGTTTCGGAGATTAAATCTAGTTTAATAAAAATCGACACAAACGACACACGACAGACAGAAGAAAAAGGGAGATTCTAGGAGTCACGAAACGTCGAGAAAATATGAAAGTACACAGTCGCACAATACTTCAAAAATGAAATTATTATGCGACAGAAGAGTAATTGACATAAAAATACACTTTAATATTAATAGCATTTTTATAAAATGATACATTATTTATCATTTACAATTGTTTACAATTACGACTAGTTTTTCGAATATACACTTTTATTTGTATTGCTTAAAGCATTAAAATTTGGTACAATTTGTGTGTTTAGTTGCTTTAGTACCAACTGGTATGTCGCCACAATACCAACCATCTACAAAGAAACAACATCGTTACAAATATGTACTACTACTTAGAAAAATCTTACAGTCAAAATAGCACAATTTTAGCATTTTTAACTAATCGAGCACTCATTTTGCAATTGTCCATTTTATCTTCCAACTTTTTCCAAGATACCATAAAACCTGTCCATTCCTGAGCTAGTCGGATAGAAAAACTAAGGCCTAAAACTTGAGTCGAACAGTGTATTAGTATTGTTACAAATTAACTTTAAAAAAACTCAAATTTGACAATATATTAAAATTACTTAAGTAATCAAAAAAACTCTTTCGTATGATCATAGTTATAATAATTAATAAGGTTACAACAACTGAACACAGTAGCAGTAACAACGAATAAATCGTCTCAAAAGAGTACCATGAAAATTTTAGAAATCGAAAATTGTCTTGAAATAAACCCTATACAGGAAAATAACCCATTATTTGACTAATAATCAGAAATAGTTTTAGAGTGGAATGTACGTTTTCATCCATCTGTAATTCTATGTTTAATAGTCACCAGTTAGAAGTTTTATTTTCAAAGAGATAATCTTAACATTGTATTGTTGAAAACCTTGTTTACTTGCACCTATTAAACACGGAATGGACAACAGACTAAAGTATTCATATATGTATATAACGAACGTAATTACTAAATGCAGCCATTAATATTTAATATCAACCTTATAAACAATATGATTAACAATTACATTCATTCTTAGAACAACAATAAAAGTAAAAGCTTTCTTTTTGTGAAACTTACTATTCGATAACAATTATTTTTATAAAGGTGTTCAATTAAAAAAGTCATCAAGTTGGCGTTGCTTTTTTGATAGAAGAAAACGTAGAGAAAAACGCATTGTTTTATATTTATTTTAATTCATACCGCTCTATACTACTGACCACGGTTGTAGAATAGATAGGTTGATACACTAGCATACATTTGCATATCCCTGGTTAGCGACGCCAATTGTCGATCGCGTCGCCTGGTTTTTGACGTTTTAGGGACACAGAACTCTATAGGCATCTGTCTATAACCGATGTAATTAATAAAAGAAATCCTACTTATCGACTCCGATCAAATGTCATTTACAAATTTTGTATTGTTCATAAAGCAATGTAAACGAAAATCCCCAAAATAACTAGAATGATTTCCGCTCGACAAGGTAGAGGCGCTAGCTGTATGTGTCCTTTCCATGGATATAGGGATCGAAAAGAAGCGTCGCCATCCCAAGCCATTAGTGTACAAACCTATCTATTCTACAACCGTGCTACTGACATTTCCGCGTTGTCAGCTGTCATCGATTAAATTTTAGGTTAATTGTAGACATACTTCACAACGTTTACAAAAATCAAAGCCAAGTTTAGTTGAACACCCGATATGTTTCCTTATCATTGTGTTAGTTCATGACAAAAAATAATAAATTTGAACAAAAAAATACTATATGAATTATTTTTTACGAACAAAGCAAGAATTACTCTGACAATGAATAGTGGCAGTTATTTTTAGTAATTTATACCCGTAGTTTAAGAAATCTACGAACTCTATTTATAATTACGACTAGTTTTTAGAATATGCCGTTTTATTTGAACTACTGCCAGTATTAAAATTTGGTACTAGTTGCGTATTTAATTGGTTTAGTACCAACTGGTAAGTCGCTACAATACCAGCTATCTGCAAAGAAACAGTAAGATTACAAATACTACAACTGGCAAAATTCTTACGGTCAAAACAGCCCTTTTTCTTACAGTAAAAAATTTCTTTCCAGAAAGAGCAATTTCTGTATACAACACCTGATCAGTAAGTCTGCAAATCTACAAAAAGCCAGAAAGCATTTAGTTTTAGTACACGTTTCTACATTCACTAACTTCTAAATTGTAGAGGGAAACTGGTACTGAAAGCACGTATGCTTGAATCTTGGAATGTTCTTCATAAAGTGCAGCAGGATAAAAACTAATACTCAAAATTTTTAAAACTGTAGTTGTGTTGGCTATATTAAACGACAACGTTTTCAAGATATTATTTGTAATTTTTAAAAGAGATGCTCCATTAACCACAATAAGAAATAAATTCGTAAAGTACGATAATAATACCATAGATCCCAGTTTATTGTTAATAATTTCACTTAAATAGCAAAGTTCGTAATGCTCTTCTCTAATGCGCTTCCACACTTCCGAACTATTATTCTTTAAGAATATATATTATTGCTATATTTTTTACTTTTAATCAATTTCTAACCTTTGCTTTAATCATTATTTTAATTTTATTTTTAAGTTGTTTGAGTCTTGTCACAAATATTCCAGACAAGGCTATTAACATGAAATCTATGAAGTAACTGATGAGTGTTATTTGAATGTATAATATCTACAACAATTAATGACATTCTTTTGATTTTATTACGTGTTAATCATGAATATACCCATATCACAACACTGCCGAAGAAATTATATCCAACTACAAGAAACACATGAGAACACAGGACAAGCTTTAAAGCAAAAAATTTAAAAACTTCTGCTATCGTTGATTCCTGTTTTGCAGCTATCATAAATAGATATGTATACTGAACCAGTAATCCAGCTGGAAACTCATGCTTACAGAAAAAGGTTTCACATATAAGAGGTAACAAAACTACCAGCTCTGAGGATTATAAACACAATCATTACAACTTTGACATTCTTCACTAATCGAGTATTCATTTTAAAATTTCCCATTTTGTCTTCCAGGTTTTGCCACAGTGCTATAAATCGTGGCCATTCTTGAGCTAGTTGAATAGAGACACAGAAGCCTAAAACTTGAAACGAACTGTACAATAATAATGCTACAAATTAAATTTAATTCATTGGAACTTTATGATATATTCAAAGTACCCAAATAATCAGAAACATTTTTTCGTATGATCATAGTCACAATGACTAATAAGGCTACAAAAACTGAAAACAATAGCAGTGACAATGAATAAATCGTCTTTAAAGAAAACCACGAGAATTTTAGCAATCGAAAATTATCTTGAAATAAACCTTGTACAGGAAAAAAGCCCATGATTTGACTAATAACCAAAAATACTTTTAAAGAGGAATGTATATTTTCGTCCATGGGTTGGAAGTTTTATGGTCGGTGAACAATTTTAACATAGAAGTTGTTAAAACCTTCTTTACTTGTAATACACGTGGAATAGGCAATAAAGAGACTAAACCATAAAAAAATATGTTATTATCGTAATTACTAGATGAAATCGTTCTAATAATCTACCAATTATTCGTTAAACTCATTCTTAGAACAACCATGAAAATAAAGGCTTTTTTTGTAAAACTTACTGACAAACGAAAATATATTAAATTGCTCAAAAATTGCTAGTATATGTTTTCCTATTATGAACCATGTTAGTGCACGATAATAATTAATAAATAATAGGAGTGACTTTGAACCGAAAAATGTTACGTGAATTATTTATTAGGCCAAAAGAATAGTATTAATAATAATTCAATTATCCGGTGAACTTCCAAGTTCACAGGATGTAACAACATTTTGGTCAAAACTTTGGTCTCAAGAATTTGAATTTAACCAACCTGCCAAATGGATTCCTCATATATCCCATAAACTATCCACAGTTACACCAATTAATGATCATCAGATAACACTTGCCGAATTAATAAATACCATCAATAAGACACACAACTGGCAATCACC